CACACACACACTTTCACGTGACAACAGGAAATGCACATTATTTTTAAGGCCCACTTGTAACAGTGGAACAGCTCAGTTGGTCTTAATGGTGACAACAGAGCAGTCTGCAGTCTATTACATTTATCCAGTCTATGCTGCAGGTTTCCAGACTCGGCCTCTCCACTGTTCTGATCATATTACTGTCCTTACTCACTCATTCAATTTCATATCAAAGAAGAAAGCTTTCAAGATGGATTAAAGAAACCTTTTTTTTATTTTTATTTCCCTTGCTTTTAACTTGATAGGGACTGAATCCGGTCTAGACGTCACCTCAGGGTGAGTCTTTATCACGGCAGAATGTTTTTTTTTCCTGGATACAACTGATAGGCACTGCTTGGTTTGCAGCAGCCAATCAGGGGCACAGCTTTCACCACAGACCTGATGGTAGATAGACATGATTTTCAAAAGTCAAAATGTTTGATGATGCAAAAAGTCACATCTGAGGCTCACAAGGAGGAATTGCTAACTGAACGCTGACTAGATGTTTTCCAAAGGTGTATGTGTGTGTGTGTGTGTGTGTGTGTGTGTGTGTGTGTGCAGGATCACCTCTCATCCTCAATGTCACTCTCTCTCTCCTCCCTCAGAGCCGGGGGCCTCACACAAACACCGAGCCAGAGATCCGCGGAGCAGCTAAACCCATTAGGAGACTCCTGAATGCAAATCTGCTGCTGCAGATATTTAATAAGAGACCTGCGCCGGCAAAACTAGATTACCTTGCAATTGCCAGTGGATAATGTGCTAAAAGCTTTCCCACTTAAGTGTTTACTCCTTACTGAATATTATTCACACTCTGAGGGGCCGGAGCAGCTTCAGAGAAACACACGGCCTGGAAGAAGGAAAAAAAAAAAGAGACAGATGGTGGTTAGAGCTGGTGTCGTTCACAGCTGAATACAGGATGAGCCGCATATAAAACAGGGAAATGAACAAGGAATAGATTGTTTTTGTTGTTCGTTGACTAATCATTGATGGTTAGAAGCCAAAAAAATGGAGGATGGATGGATCTTTAGAGATGAAACCACTGGATGACATTGACACACGTATGTCTTTTCTCTTATATGGCTTTATAACAAGGCCTAAACCATGGAGTCAACATTGGGGGGGACCAAATTTCTCTCTTATATATATATACCTTTTTTTTCTTTTTACCATAATGATAATGCATTGCGTTACATGTTATTACATTGTATTACTTGTGTGGGCACTGGGCAGGAGGGCCTTCACTGCTCTCTTCTCATCCTGTCTTCCCTTGCCAAGCTCCTGTGGTCCTATATTCTCCTCTCTCTTTTCCTCTCTCTTGCTCTCCC